TTTGTTTCCTGAGATTAAGAATTCCTCATATCAGTGAGGTCATATGATACATGTCTTTCTCTGATTGACTTATTTCACTCAGCATAACACCCTCCAGTTCCAGCCACATCATTGCAAATGGCAAGATCTCATTCTTTTTGATGGCTGCATAATATTCCATTGTGTGTGTGTGTATATATATATATATATATATATATATATATATATATATATACCACATCTTCTTTATCCATTCATCTGTTGACGGACATCTTGGCTCTTTCCACAGTTTGGCTGTTGTGGACATTGTACAGCTGCCTTCTTTATGTAAATATTAAGTAAGAATGCCCCACTTTTTTAGGAAAAAAAGCATCTGTTACCCATAAGCCCTTGTGCTTTTGAGCTAAGTGCCACTGTTAACCTGCTGTCACCTTTAACCTTCTTTCTCCTGGAATACAATCTCTGAGTGTCTTGTTGAATCAAGGCCCAATGTCAAATGAGTATCTTCTTGCTCCAACCTGACTCATTGAGGTTCTGCCAACGGAACAAGCATAGATCTGAATGTAAACTAGAAATATTTCACCATAATTCAAGACTAAGTGCAACCCTTGTCGAGAATTTAGAGATATGAAGAACTACAGAAGGGAATTTAGCTCATCACCTTTGTCACTATAGACCGATGCTCAAATAATCCCCAAAAGGTTTCTAAATTTTTAAAAATGAATCGGTAGTTATTGAGTGCCTCCAGTGTCAGCAAAAAAAGAAGTATGAAACACGTCTTTGCAAAAGGAGTTAAGAATGTAATGGTAAAATGAGCTATATAAACAATTACATCCTGCCCCACTTTCATAAGCTCCCCTACTGTAGTCACTACTGTCCCTCCCCCCTGTCTCAATTGGCTCCAGGTGTGCTTATCTCCTTGCTGTGTGCAAATCAAACCCCCACCTTAGGGCGGTTGCTATACCTCTGCCTGGAGCGTTCATTCCCCAGATGTTCAAATGGCCAACTCAGGCATCTCCTTCAAACCTTTACTCAATACTTTTTTCTGATTGGGGCCAACCCTGACCATTTATTTAAAATTGCATCCTGCCCTCCAACCCTACACTCTCCCTCCTACTTGCCCTTCTTTCTCTTTTTCAGTAACATTTATGATCTTCTAATATACTATATAATTTATTTATTTTCTATGTCTATTAGTTCTCTCCCCCCTCCTCACACTATGTATGGGGAGAATGTAAACTTCATAAACACAGGAGTCTTTGTTTTGATCCCTGACATATCCTGAGTATATAGACTAATACCTGGTATATTAGAGGTGTCCCATAAATATTTCATGAATGTATAAGTAAATGGCTCAAGGAAGCAGAAGACCATATAAAAAACAACCATAGAGGCATCCAACAAGAAGTAGAAGCTCCTCCTTTGCTGGGGACATTTTGAGGGAAAGAAAGGGAATAACACAAAGTGGTCAGACTGTAGAGCCCTGGCTCTTCCTCGGGGCTGAAACCCTGTGGGAGAGAAGAACTGTGTGGCTGTAGCAACTCCCATGAGACACTGGCAAAGAGATTTTAGTACAATTCTCTGGGCATAGCTTAGGAGAGTACTTTCCCTGCCCACATGCTTCTTAGGTTCCCCCTGTGCCCAAGGAAGGAGAAAAAGAAGGAGTGAAAACCTTTGAAAAAAAAAAATACAAGTACTCAAAAGACACTGAATTAGACCAAAATTGGCTATTTTAAACTATTTTTTAATGAATTACTTTTATAGATTGATAATTTTAAATGTTTTTCCCACCACCAATAGGAATGAGGCCTATCATAAAAAATAAAGAAAACTACTTTAATTATTGGCACATCTGAGTTGTAAGACATAAACTCAACCCTGCTGCATTTGTTTATGTCTGTCATTAAGCGTCATGAAGAAAGGTCCTATCTATTTTGTTCAATGCTCTATTCCTAGCATCTCGCATAGTGCCTTCAATGTGGTAGATGATAAATACCACTGGTTGATTGGATCAGTGGTTTTCTTAAGAATGAAGCAATAAATTCATTCCGTATGTGTTCTGGGGTCAAACTGCCTGAGTTCAAAGCCCTTACTTTGCCAGGAACAGTGTAGACAGTGGAATAATCATATCTTTATCCTATTGTGGCAGAATCATTTATTGAGATTCTAATTTGTATTTTATTGTCATATTTTTTCTATCCTATTTGAAGCATGTGGACAGAAATTCATGACTCTGAGCCTCAAGGGAGATTTATGTTGAAAGACAGAAAGGTTAAAATGTATGCCAGTCAGCCTGGCTAGTGATGAGGATGCCTCCTCCACCTTGGTGATGTCAAGGAAATGGCGAGTTCTCAGAGAAAGAATGGACTACAGGGCCCAGTAACTACCCATTCTCAAGGGGCCATGAGGATCTGGATGGTGAAGATATCAGTAGCAGTGACAGGCTGAAGATTAGGGGCACATTTTCTATTTTCTAAGAACCACATAAGATTTTTTTACAACCCTGGTAAGACATGTGGGCCCTCTTCATTGAGCATAAATTTCTTGCTGTCACAGCATGGGTGTGGGGGTTGCTTCTGAGTTAGATTTGATTTGACGTAAAGAAAACAAAGACAAGTGGCCTCTTTTCATACCCACACTTATGGAGACGTATTCACATCATTACACTATTACTTTTAAAAACTTACAATTCTAGAAACATAGTGACCCCAAAGTTCCTGCAAGAAACTTCTCCATGAAAAATTCTAAATGTCTCTTGGAAGTTGGATGAAGGGGGCACTGAGTTCAACTTGACCTCTTTCTAAAGTCAGCACAACATACTCCTGGGAGAAATCTCACCAGAGCTCAGTGTTGGGAGTGCTCCTCCAGGCACCCCTGGTCAGTGTCTAGGAGTTTGATCCACTGTGGTTTGGGTTCCTGGGGTAGAGACTCTGGTTGGTAACATGAATGCTTCTCAAATAGTTCTGCTCTCCAAGGAGCTTGGGAGGACATTTTCCAGTCTTCACAGTTTCTTTCACATTTATTTGATTTTCAGACTTTAAGCCTAAATCCTATAATCATACCCCCACAAAGCTAAGTTTTTGAGTTTAACTGAAAATTGCATTAAGTTTTTTAAAAAGTCATTCTCTACATAGAAATGAATTTTCCCTCTTCCCAGGGCTCAAATGGGCATGAAGAATTTCTTTAATTTAATAAGTGCTTTACACTTAGCTTAAGATGAAACCTCAAAAATATGTTTCTTTTCCTTCAATTAATAATTACTAGAGTCTGATCAGTCTTTGAAAAGATACTTCCTGTCTCCTCCCACAAAACTTTTTCGACATTGTACTGGGAGTTCTAGCTACTGCAGTAAGATCAGAAAAGGATATAAAAGAAATACGGATTGAGAAGGAAGAAATAAAACTGCCTCTGTTCACAGCTGATATGATCATCTATGTAGAAATTGCAAAGAATCAACAGAAAAACCTACTGGAACTAATAAGCATTATAGCAAGTTTGCAGAATAAAGGTTAACATACAAAAGTCAATTGTTTTCCTATATACCAACAATGAACAAGTGCAATTGAAATTGAAAACACAATGCCATTTATATTAGCACCCCCAAAATGAAATACTTAAGTATAAATCTAACAAAATATGTACAACATCTATATGAGGAAAACTACAAAACCCTGATGAACAAAGTCAAAGAACTAAATAAAGGGAGAGATATTCCATGTTCATGGGTAGAAACACTCAATATTGTCAAATGTCAATTCTTCCTAACTTGATCTATAGATTCAATGCAACCCCAATAAAAATCTCAGCAGGTTATTTTGTGGATATTGACAAACTTATTCTAAGTTTATATGGAGAGACAAAAGATCTAGAATAACCAACACAATATTGAAGGAGAAGAATGAAGTTGAAGGACTGACACTACCTGACTTCAATACTTACTGTAAAGCTACAGTAATCAAGACAGTGTAGTATTGGTGGGAGAATAAACAAATAGATCAATGGAACACAATAGAAAGCCCAGAACTAAACCCATATAAATATAGACAACTGCTCTTGGACAAACGAGCAAAGGCAATACAATGGAGCAGTCTTTTTTAAAAACAGATAGTCTTTTCAACAATGGCATCGGAACAACTGGATATCTACACTGAAAAAAAAAACAAAAACAAAGAATCTAGACACAGATCCTATATCCTTCCCAAAAAATGATCTCAAAATGGATCATAGACCTAAACGTAAACCATAAAACTCCTAGAAGATAACATAGGAAAAAACCTAGATGATCTTGGGGATGTTGATGACTTTTTAGATATAACACCCAAGGCATAAGCCATGAAAGAAATAATTGATAAGCTGGATAAAATTAAAAACTTGTGTTCTGTAAAACATAACATTAAGATGAGAAAATGAACCAAAGGATGGGAGAAAATATTTGCAAAAGACACATCTGATAAAGGACTATTATCCAAAATGCACAAAGAACTCTTAAAACTGAACAATAAGAAAACCAACAACCCAGTTTAAAAATGGGACAAAACAGGCATTTCACTAAAGAAGAAAAACAGATAGC